TGGACCCTGCTCAGAGGGCCTTGTACAGCGATGTGATGTTGCAGAACAAACAGTAGGAACCTGGTCTCTCTGGATGAGGATAACTAGCTTACAGATGACAGGATCTACCCTTGGGTATCTACATTTTCCCTCTGTGCCTCTAGGGAGCCCCTGCACTGATTGACTGAGATAGAAACCTTATTGACTCAGAAATAGAAAGCTTGCTTAATAGCAGCATCTGGACTTGAAACTTGCACCTTCTTCAGATGACCAGCTTACTTCATTCCACAACAGGGGTGGCTCCAGAGCGTAAGCATGCTGAAACCTTATGGCAGCTATAACGCATCCAATTCCCTCTTTTCTACCCCTGTGCTTTTGATTGAGTAATTCTTAGAAGAGAACTGGATATATGCATATTATACTATTCCGGATGCATTCAGAAGGAGGCAATCTGTTCATAAAATTTTGAAACCGCTTCTCAGCTTTCTTGAGTATAACTGTCAAATAAAATTGTAACATGTTTTTAAAAGGGTACACAGCCAGAATATTTGTGAGCGGTTGCCATTTGCGTAGAAATCGCCTACCGTGTGGGGGGTAACTGAGAAGGCCAGTCCCAGAACCCTGAGGCCCACATTCACTTTCAGGGATGTACTCACTGATTATAGGATTAAAAGATTGGAAACAAAATGACAGGAACAAATTTGTGGTTCATTCAGCTATTTAACAAATAAAAGGAACAGAACAAAGTATTCAAAACCTCTACTCTGAAAGGGCTCTGAATATGCCCATGTCAAGGCAATATCAGCTTTTACTTTACTAGTTAGAACCAATGCTCTGAAATTCAAATTTTATATAAAACTTGGAGTGTTTTGTTCACTTCTATATCCCCAGAATCTAGAAAAGGGTTTCAGGTATAAGAGCTAGACAGTAAATATGTACTGAATAAACCCTATGGAAAAGGGGCCACCGATCTTTCTTGTGTTTTCTGTGTGCTCCCTGGAATTGCTGCTCTGCAAAGGTTTTGGCTGCCATTATGTACTTAGGATTTTGCATGAGCTTCAGAAGAGACAGAACTTAGATGTGGTCTGAGCACAGACATCAAGCACATACACTTCGACATAAGAAGGACTAAACTTTACCTTTCTCCTCAAAGTTACTTGTCTCTTAAATATGCATCATCTATCTAATAACTTAAAAAAATATTTGACTTTCCTCTTTTCCTACCTTCACATCCAACTTGTCATCATATATTGGACACCCAAGCTCTTCAATATTGTTCACATCCTTCCTCACCTTGTTATTCTCACTGCTTGTTGCATTAATTCACATGACTGAATTAATGCAGCCTGTTCAAATCAGCTCTTCTCAGACCCACCTGCCTCCTTCCTCAGCCCTCTCCACACCAGTTACTGGGAATATATAGTAATTCTTCTGGTTCAGTGGTCTTTAGCTGGTGTTAATATTTTTGGTTTTGCTTTTGTTTTTTGTTTCTGTTACTAAAAGAATTTTTTTTTAAGTATTTAAGTTCCCTCACATGTTTTTAAGTTGACATCTACATTTTTATGGCTGCGAAAGATGTGATTTCTAGCATATGTTAACTACTGACATGTTGAAACCAAAAATTTTATATCACACTTTTATATGTGTGAATGGACTCTAAATACTGGAGTGATTTGAGACCTACCTGTTCCTGGATAAGTGTACATTATCAAGCTCTTTTTCTCCTTGAATCATTTTTTATTCCATTCTACTTTACTCATGGAATGTTATTTGAATTTAATGTATTTTATGCTGGAGAGACCTATTCTTCACCCTATCATACTTTTCTGAAAGACTTTTATATTTCAAAATTATTTATTTACATTTCTTGTGACCACAGAATTCCAAGAGATAAATATGAATATACACCACACACGCATATACACACACAAACATATATATGCTGGATAGAGTTATGTAACACTACTGCATAAATGATAAGCAGCATGAATATATAGTATTTTCAAAGGTCTCTTGGTTGAGTGTCACCAAGGTTTTTAGGACAGTGCACCACAATAAAATTCAGGAAGGATGGGCAGCTTGCCTTTGTTCAGTAGGTAAGAAAGGGAAATTATGAATGGGAAGGAAGGATTTTGAACTTGACTAACTCCTTAGTAACACATGCACTTCAAGCAGAAGATTTGGGGCGAGAATTCATACGGAAGTAAAAGAGCTAGAATTTGAACCTCTAAGTTGTTCATGCCCACAGACCCTGAGGAGAGACTTTGTGTTCCCCTGACTACCTGGATACCAATTTGGAGACTTCTGTAATTAGCTAATGCCATATATCAAAAGTGAAGAGATTTTGCAGGTGTAAGTAAAGTCCCTAATAAGCTGACTTTAACTTAATTAAAGGGAGTTTGCCATGGATGGTCCTGACTTAATCAGGTGAGCTCTTTAAAAAAGGATGTAGAGGGGCGCCTGGGTGGCTCAGTGGTTAAAGCATCTGCCTTCGGCTCAGGTCATGATCTCAGGGTCCTGGGATCGCGTCCCACATCGGGCTCTCTGCTCAGTGGGGAGCCTGCCTCCTCCTCCTGTCTCTCTCTGCCTGCCTCTCTGCCTACTTGTGATCTGTCTGTCAAAAAAAAAAAAAAAAAAAAATCTTAAAAAAAAAAAAAGGATGTAGAAGTCAGAGGCTCAAACTAACAGAAAACTATGCTGTTGGCCTTGAAGAAGTAAACCTCCCTATTGTGGAGAGAGTCATGTAGTAGGAAGTATCAGACAGTCTTTAGGACCTGAGGACCTCAGCACTGCAACCCAAGAAACTGAATTCTGCCAACAACCAGTGAACTTGGAATGGGATGCTGAGTCTTAAATGATACAGTGTGGCAGGCACCTGGGTCATGGCCCTGTAAAGTCCTATGCAGAGAACCCACCTGAGTCATGCCTGGACTTTTGACCCCCAGAAATTATGACATAATAAATATGCATTGTTTTAAGCCACTACGTTTTTGGTAATTTGTTATACAATGATAGAAAACTGTTACACAGTTAAAACCATCACCAAATGTCTTGGTGTTGCATCATAGGCTGTACTGTAAATGTAGACCAAAATATTTGGAAGCATATTCATAAAACATTATATCATAGTCTTTCCAGAATTGCAGAATGTCAACTTTAATTCATTTGAATAAAAATGTAGTCTCCATATATGATTTTACAAACTAAAAGCCTTGTCGTAATGAAATATTTCTAAAATATTCCCAATGTTTAAAACATTATTTTGTTCTTAACTCTATAGGTTTGGCTCACAAATTCTACCATCCTTTCCTTAGAATTAACATCCTATAAACATCATCCTCTGTTTAGCAAAGTCATCTGAATCATTGCATGTTAGTTGCATAATTAGCCAACTCTTCTTTGGACAGAAAAGAGAAAGAAATCTATCTAGTAGTGACGAAGTGTCATACTTATTTTATTTCTTTTCTCTCACAACATCTTTTAAATAACCAAACACTGATTGGTAAATGTATAGAAGGACAACAGTAAATGTGCAGGTGAGCACGCATGTGAATGTGTGTGTATCTGTGTGTGTATTTATACAGATCTTATTCCAGAGACAATTTATAAAAGTATGAGTACCTAAAACACACACACATACACACACCCAGAATGGAAGGGAAACATGGTTTATAGTACCTAAGTAGTCTATAACAATGGAAAGCTTAACAAGATTTTAAAAGTCAGTGAGTGGAACTAACCCGATCTATACAGAGAAACACTGTCACAGGAGTCATCTTTTATTTTAAGGGACCAAACAGATGATTCAGTTTCCTTGGAACATTGTGTTCACGTCGAGAGCCTACCAGATTCTGCAGTTACTTCACATATGCTAGACACATCCTCTTTTTATGGGCTTTATTTGAGTTGTCCAAAACATTTCCTTTTATTAGCAGGTCTAAGTGGGGAGAGATTTACTTTGGCAGTATCACAGTGTGGATAATATTGAATTAAGTTTGTTCAAAGGAATATCTCCATCAGGCTGTACTAGGAAAATATGCAAATGCCTATCCCTACCCTCAGAACTGTCCACTTATCATTTAGCCTGCTGGCACCTGATCCTATGTAAGTTATTTGTCTTTATATATCCATATATATGCATATCCTTATATTATCAAGCCAATTTATAATGTAATTATACCTTACTAAACTCATGTGATTCTACTGGTCTTAAAGCATTTTAGGATCCAGCTGAAAAAATAAGACTTGTACTCATAGAAATAAAAGCATGGCCAAATCTAATTATCCAGAATTATTTCAAAGAGTAAAAAAGTGTAAGTTAACCATGGAGGAGAGGACCAAGTATACAGATTTAAAAAGCTACCACAAAGCAAGTGAAGACAGAAGGTTTTATCAGAAATTCAGGAGTGTTGAGTAAAGGCCAGTACATAGAAAACAACCATAGCGCAGATAGAAGACAGGTTGGAACAACACAGGCTGTGGACAAGGCAGACAGAGAGGTGGGGTCAGCAACTAGAGATTAAGGATGTCTGTGAGAATCTTCCAGTAGACTTCTTAGTCTTCCTTGCAACTCTGCCATTCACCAAAAGAGGTTCACCGTCACTTGACAGCTCATGTTATGTCTGGGGAGGAACGGTATGGAAAGGATACCAGGTTGGAAAGTAAAAATCTAAGGTCCTTGCTTTTATGGCCCTAATGACATTAGGATACTGCACATATTCCCTGATCTTTTTCTCCCTCAGTGGGTTTTTTTTTTTTATAACATGAGAATGTTTAGGCCTTCACTGTAATTATAAATGTTTTCTGTATATATGTTCACTTGCATATTTATCTCTTTCAAAACAATGACTCTGAAAATTCCAAAGATTTGGGTAGAGTTATGTAACACATTCTTAAAATATTAAAACCTACACACACTAAAGCATCAAGTAAAATAGCTGTTAACCTGTCTCACTAATAATCGCCTGCTTAGACCCAGTCTGTGAGAGGAAAAGGAAGCAATAAATTTGACCTTAACTTACCGCACATTTTAATTGCACAGTACTCCCACGGGGTGTCAGGGTCAAGAGTATAGCACCATGGCCTCGGCTTGCCATCAGGATTGCGGCAATAATTATCATCAAAGCCTTTGTCGGGATATCTGCGAACCACACCAAGAAAAGTGTCATGTAAATCTGCCTGGAAACACCACCCACCCTTCAGTTCACAAAATAATGTTCGACCTAGCTTGGCTACTACTAGATGGGGGAAGAAAAGATTTCCTGTTGTACCTTACGAAAACTGCTATTTATCAACTATTGCATCTGTTAGCTTATGTATCTAGTAAGTACAGAATACATCCCTTTTGCTGATAAGTTAGGTCCATTTGGTACCTGTCCACCAGCTGAGGTCCCAAACTGAATCCTCTTCTCACAAAGCCCAATTAAGGACAGATTACATAAACATGATCTCAGGTAGAATGCTCATTAAGAAAAGGGGTCCTTTTCTGAGGATGGCTCAAAGTTCAAACTGAAAGTTAGGTTCCAATAGTTCTGTTACTAATGATAGCTCAATTTTGAAAATAGAGCCCTTCTAGGTCATACCCTCTCCTCCACCATGGCAAGAGAGAAACTCCATCACACCAGTCTCTCTATACCTTCCTCCCTTTAAATTAACAAGGTCCTGAATTGGTGACTTGATTTTAATTGCTACCATATTCCTTCTGCACTCACTTAAAAGACAAGAGATACACTTAAAAAAGCCCCAAAACACATAGTTTGAATTTAAGAGAACAACAAACAAACAAAAAGAAAAAAAAACGCCTTTCAGAAAGGTGGGGATAAAGCTTCCCCTATAATTATATTTTTATTCTTTATAATAAAAATAAAGTAATTTTTTACTAAATATTTCATATGAAATTAATGAACCAAAGTAGACATATTTTTTAAACCATTTTATCTCAAAACCCAATCCTGAGGAGAAAAGTAGATTTGGTGGCATGACTTCTCCAGACTGGCAATTCTAAAATACGCTAGGATAAAGCAGCCAAAGAATTGTTTGCTTCACCTTGCATTCCCTTCCTATGGGCATAACTTACGTCATGGTGTCACACATGTGACCCCACTTTACCCAGTCACTGAAGATGTGGCTTTAGAAGGACATTAGCTTGTATCTAGCAACAATGCCTCCTCCCATAGCTTGGACTATGGTCATTACTTAATGAGCCTCTGTCTTTTTCCTGCCATGGAAGAGAAAGAGGAAGCTTCTGTTAGTGCTCCCCTTCTGCACCCCACTGATGCTCCTGTGTTCAGGACCATTATGACTTCAAGGGACTCAGTCTACTCAGCAGACACCAGTCAAATGTGTAGCCAGCATTCTCATATACTTCATAAGTCCCTTCGCCCCAAGGCTATCCAGAAAATTTAGAGAATTTCTAAAGGCAGTTCATCATGGAGCAAATAAATGCCAGTTTGTAAAAAGAATCATTGGAAGGATGATTTGGTAATATTTTACCTTTCTGGCAAGAATTTGTGCCGGTGTGGTGTCTGATGATCCCAACGCTGACAAATCTTGCCTGATTCTGTGTGATCCATGGGACCTCGATAACTTTCCCCATTGCAGGTCATGCATTCAACTAATAAAATTAAAGTATGGCATGTTAATTGCTTCTGACAGAAATATCAAGAACACCACTTTTCCATTGAAAGAACATTAAATCATCTCTTTAGCAAAAAGATTTTTAGAACAATTTATGTACCACTTTAATGTTGAATTGGGGTCTAATGTCCATGAAGAGTGACATAAAATACTCCCTACAGAGCTCTTCATATAGTTTACATGGTATTTGTGTAGTTAGTGTCATGCATCTTTGCCATAGTACCAGGACGCTACCTTTCTAATTTTTCAATGGCTGTCCAAAAAGCACCCAGAAACTGGAAATATAAGACAGGCCCTTGAGATCTACCCCTTCCTGGTCTAAAATGCACAGAATTTCAGTGTCTATACTGAGAGTAGAATAATTCTCTTCTCTCAATGTACCTCAAAACACATAAATAGGAAATACACAGTTTAAAATGAGTACACATCATGCCCCTAGGTTTAATGCCAAAATCAGGACCAGGTAAACTTGAGAGATCAACTTCAAACATAAGTGTGGTACTATTCAAAGAACAGCGATATTTTAAAAGAAATCATGGCTCCTTTCTGTTCCTGAGTATCCATGTTGAATAACTGGGCAGCCTTACATTCTTATCTAGACTCGGATAGAAGATGACCTGCTATTGAACTCCTTGTACTCACTGTCTTTAAAATGTATAAGCTCGTGTAATTATGCAGGATCCCACTGATGATTCTGTGAGGTTAATTAATAGTTCTCCTCTGGCTGGCCTCTTATGTCACACTGAAAACTCTGAATCACATCAGCTAGCTGAGAATGAGACTTCTCAAATGGACAGGTTGATTTGTAGCACAGCAGGAATCCTGTGGAATAAATCATTGCTTGGCTTCCTTACGAATCCGGCAAACTTCCCCAAACACATCATTTGTATCTTGTGACTACTGACCATCTAACTTTAGCCAAAGCAGAGAACAGATATAAATGTTTAGCTTTATCCGTTGGTATCTGGCCTAATAGGTATTTGTAATAATTTGGGATATAATATTAGAATAATCACTTCTGGACCTTTGATTTTTATAACCTAATAGAACAGTAACTATTAACTTTCTGAAATATAAGACCATTTGGCTTGATCCATCTACTTCTTTTAATGTAGCTTAATCTATGAACAAGACAAGAGATGAATTCAGCTTCTTCTCATTCAATTCTGAGATTCCCCAGACTACAGTCAATAAACACCTGAACTATAAATGAGAGGTGCTCTTTTTGGCCAAGGTCATTTCCACAGTAACATGTTCGACATGGATTATGCATTATCACATCTCAGCTTTCCAGTTCAATGGGGTACAGATTTATTTAGTTCCCTTCTTCAGAAGAATGCAAGGTTTGATATCTTCACAGAAAATAATGTGGCATTTATCATTCTTTGTTCTTTTGTACTGAATGAAAAAGTAGAATAGAATACTATGGTCACATGTAAGAAATAAGTGTCCACATGTTCATTCTCTAGCCTTGTATGGTACACAGGAATCAGAAATATATCTTTGTCTCCTTTAGCAGATGCAAGTTGGTAAGAGTATATCCCTTTCTAATGAGAGTGAATTAAATTATTTTCTGCAAAGCAGTATTGTGGGGATTATTACAAAACATTTTTCCTAAGCTTTAGGATTTTTAATCTTCTTAAGGGAAAATACTATACAAATTAAACAAATGATTCTATAAGACAACTGCTTTACAAGAATGAGTGTGTTAGATCACTGCTACTCCAAACCTCAATGTACATCAAAGTCACTTTGAGATCTTGTTAATAAACAAATTCTGATTCAGAGGATCAGGACGGGGGCATCCATCATTAGTTCCCAGGGGATACTGATGTTTCTGGTCCTTGGAATTCACATTGAGTAGAAAGTGTGTGGATAATTCATTCTACTCTAGAAGTTCTAAGTGTTTGTTGATAATGGCTTTGTAGGAGAGAATGGATTTTACTCAGATATTGAAGGGTGGATGGATTTGGATAAGCTATTATGGAGCAAAATAAAACAAAATGGTACAGAAACATAAATTAGTGTATTATGTTTATAGCAAAGTGAAGAGAGAGTTATGGATGCAGTTGCAGACCAAAGAAGATTTTTAAAAATAATAAAAGTCAGCAAGAATAGCATCAGATTTTGGTAGGCAATGAAAGTTGTTGTTGGGGTGGGAATAAAATGTGTCCTGTGATAGAACTGAGATGATAAGTATATTATGGTTATAAATTCTTTGATTACTCAGTACTTTTAAAATATAAGAAATCATTTGACCCTTGCAATGAGGAAAACAAGGCTTACATAAGTTTTAAGGGACTTACCTAAAACAGAAAATTTCAGACTTGTGCCTGGAACACGGACCTTCTGACCTCAGTCCAGGGTTCATTCCATTCTTCCTAATAATCTTTTTGTCTCATGTATTTTAATTTGTTTCTTATGCATTCTGATTGGTCATACTTTTAAGATAGACTCTTAGCAATAATTTTAGAAAGTCAATCTTCCTGCCTTTTCAACATTGTCTTCATTACCCCCTCTGCTTTCCTATTCCTAACAGTAGGTTGCCCTGTTGTAGTCTCACCTATTGGAGGATGGGGAGAAGGGGAGCAAGTAGATTGGCCATCTTACTCGGGCTGAAAATTTTGTTGTTTCACTATTCCATCAAGCATCAGGTTTCTAGTAAAAATTTCCTCAAGAAAGCCAAGTTTTAAACTCATAGTCACTTTTCAAACTTCCAGAATTCTGTGAAGGTTCTAAGTTGTTCAAGCTCAGTCAAGCAGTAGGAATGGAAATCAAGTCCATCTACTCAGGGAGGTAGGTGAAAGTATGATCTATATAACACATAACATACAGTATGATCTATAGAACACTGAGGATCACCCCTCTTCCTCTATGTCCTTTTGCCTTTTTTTTTGCCAGTGTATTTTCCAATGGTTCTAGCAAGTTCATCCTTTTAAAAACAAAACAAAACAAAAACAAAAAAACAAAAGCAAAATACTGTCCCAGGGCACATAAACTCAAACTAAGTAAATGTTTCTATTCATAACTAGTTTTCTTAAATATACCACTGGCCTAAACAAAAGTAGAAAACTATATTAACTACACATGAATTATAATATGAATAGTATTCATTCAACATCTTTCTTATCATACTAACCAACTAACTCAAAAATTATTGTGTTCTATTTTTCTCAATTATAAAACTACAAGTGATTTGAGTTTACAGACTAAAACAACTATTTTGAAAATATCTCTCATAAAAATCCATGCTGGTGATTACTTCAGCAAAACTGTATGTTTGAAATATGGATAGTTTCACAAACCCACATTTATAAGTAATCGTTTTATTTAAATCCTTGTTTTTAAAAGTCCTTCTCCACAGAATATGAAATTATACATATAAAGTTATAGCAGTATTATTTGGGATTTTAAATGTAAGTTATTAAAAATAATGAGTATGACTTAAAAAATGTATTTACTTGAATATTTGGCAGTCATTAAAAGAGACATCTGTTCCAGTAACTGGTGATTGCTTTGTTCTAAATCCCAAGCAAGTGTTAAAGCAAGAAATCAGATTTTAGATACCTCAGTTTGTCATATTTGAATTAAACATTAGTGCTATTATTTTCTTTACATAATTGTGTAAGCTTCTAAATGTGATAAAAGTATTCATTTTCTCTTGTAATGCTTAATATATTTCAAAGATTAAATTATGAGAAAATAATATTAATCACTGGATATCAGAAATACTTCTCTTATGAACCAAACTTTCAGATAAATTTCAGATGACAATTTAGCCAAGAGTTTAATAGAGTTACAAAAATTTCAAGAAATACATCTACATTATTTTGTATATTTTGTATTACTCATTTTAAAATAGCTCTGTTTTTCTCTATTAATGTATTGACAGTGCTTCTTATTTTAGATCCTCTTCAGTAAAATCCTGCTAACGCATTATTCAATATCGTGTGAATTTAAATATCACAGCTCAATTCACGCTCCCTGAAATATGTTTAGCCTATAGGGCAGGTGTTGGCTCACTCTTCTCACAGGAGGTTATTCAACTACCATCAGATTTCTAATTACTTCCAGAAAAAGCCTATCTGCAACCTTTAGTGCCATGGTGATCAATAACATCATATGCCATTAATAGTAATGAGCAATGCTCTTTTCTAAGGGAAATATAATAACCTCAAATTATTAAAGGATAATAGAGATGTACATTCTAATGAGATGTTGATAACTCGAAATAAGATTTTTCCAATTACTTCTTTTCTAGCATGATTATTCTACGTTGTCTTATCAGTCCAGATCTATGCCAGTGTATTTTGATGAAGTTTCTTGTAAACCAGGGTTGAGACATCATATTCCCACACGAACTAGGCAGGTAACATAAATGCTCAGCTATTTAAAGTTCGACCAAATTACCTTCCCTTGAAAATACTTTCCCAGGTCAAAAAAAAAAAAAAAAAAAAAAATCACTAAACAAAACTCCTTGCAATGACTTTCAACCTCAGAAAACTGTGATAGTGGAGAGCTCCCCCAAAAAAGTAGGGTTTTTCCCTTCCATGTGTAAATTTAAAGCAAGTATTAATTACAGATTTATTCATACAAAACAGACTTGTTCATAACGTTATCACAGATCAGTTTATTATTTTTAAAAGAGAAGAAAACAACGAAGAAGTTATAGTGAACAGAATATGATATGGAATGGAAAGTAAGAATTTACAAACAGAGATGGAACTGGCTCTAGCACATGAAGTCAAGAATTTTAAATAACAACAGAAAACAAATTCACCTTCTCCATGACAATTCGCTAACAATGGCCTTTTTATGTGATCAATATCGACCTAATATTAAATGGATATTTATGGAAAAAATAGTTTAAAAAATTGGGTTAATAACAAACAGGTAAGATATTTTACTATAAAAAATTGGACAGCGTCCCAGCCGCCCTCTACCCCCAAGTATTTCAAAATCCGACTAAATTTCTATCAGAACTTAATCCATGTTTCATTTGGATTTTTAGAATTTTAGTTTCTGACAGAACTGAAAAGCCAGCTGTTCAGTAGACAGGCAACTAAGAAAAGTGAAACCACATGCATTGCTGAAGTGGTTACTCTTCCTTCTTGTCAGGCCTTCAGTTTTCCAGTGCAAGAGTGAGGGCAGGGCCCCTTTATGCTGTGAGGGGAGGTAAAAACAGACATGGCCTTAGGGTGCCTGCCTTCAAGACAGCGTGGGCTCTATGGCTTTGATCTCTTCAGGTACTATTCTCAGTGGTGTGTAGTGTCAGTCTATGTATCAGATTTGCTTTTCACCAGAAGGCACACAACCCGATCGAACTTCCAGCGACCCCTCCCCATAGTCTCTTCTGGGCTCATATACTCTGGCCACACCACTTCCGGGTAGGTTTGACAAAATTTCTGCAGAAGCAGGTGCTGGATGAATAGAATTAGCATTACTCTTAAAGAGCTAAGCTTCCTTTGGCTCCTTTCAGGTGACATGTGGGAAGAGACTGTGAGGTATGTGAACTCAAGACAGTAGGTGAGGAAGCCCAAACTTTTACTCTCCCCAGAGAGATGCCTCAGGCTCCGTTGAAATTCAAACTGATAACCCCTTTGTATTAATCTGATGAAAATCAGTTTTTAAAATATCTTGTAAAAATGCTCAAATAATTATCTATAGTTGCATTTGAATGAACAACGTATTTATTACGGTTTGATTCATCTCTGTTAACCTTTAATGCGAGTTGCAGTTCTACAGAAAGCGGGAGCAGAGTGCCCCACACGGCATTCAGGTTCATTTACCTTCTGAACACTGAGGAATGTCACAGACTTCGTAGCGTACCTCTGGATTGCTTGTGAAACACCAAGGTCCCCCTTCTTCCCCTCGAGGATTTCGACAGTAGTTTTCCTGTAGGTCTTTACCCCGATAGCTCGAAGGCAAAAAGCTAGTTTTAAAATGATAATCATTACAGTATAAGAGCATGCAACTTTATTTTGGGCCTGTTAATTTTACTCATTAGTGGGCAAGTTTTTCCTGAAGTACAGAAATCCTTTATTCTACCTCAGACCTCCATATCTATTAACTTGAACTCTATCATTCTCATCCACCCTTAAGATACTTAAATTTTATAAATATTTACCTGACCAAATTCCCATATTCAACATCATTAACAATGACTAATCTCTGGAGTAGCTAATAGCCAATCATTCTAGAACCTAACTGACATTGTTCGAACCACAATTTCAAAGCTCCCCTCAAAGATAGCACGTGATTGAGCAAGGCCACGGAGGAGAGAATGGAAGAAACACTGCAGTCGACCTTGAAATCTCACTATTACACTGCTTATCTGAGATAATTACTTGTTTATTCCTCTTCTCATGAAGAATAGCCCTCTTTTTTTCTGCCCAGCTGAGAAACAGGTTGATGAAGTGACACAAACAAAAGATCTAGAATCAAATTAAACCTGGATTCAAATTTCAGTTCTCTCTTTGACTAACTGGAGACCCCAGCAGGTAATTTAGACTCTCTCAGCCTTTTAGCTTACCTGCACACGGAGTATAACCGTAACTTACAGCATCCTATGCTTTTTAGGGTGTTTTTGAGAAGTTCAAAGAGATGACAGAGTAATCAACATTCAATAAATGCTACTTATTATTAAGCTCACTCCATTTAGTAGTGTTTACCCTGTCACAGTGAAAAACAGAATTATTTATTCTCTTCAAAAAATGAGCAATCTTCACTGCAACTGGGGTTTAGTGGATTAGTGCTTCCAGACTGTGTTTGTAACAGTTTGCCACTGGGTACAGAGACTATAATGCATTGCCTTCTTTTGAAATTTGTAATGCCCTAGTTATAGTTTTATCAGCATAGAGTATTTCAACACAAAATCAGAAAAATCCAACGGCTTTTTCATTCGTTTGTACTGCTTGTGGCATTGGCCTCAATGATGCTTTCTTCTGCTGGACTGATTGCAAAAAAATCTTGTAAGGAAGAATATATACCGTGGGTGACGCTAAACTTTTTTTGAAAATCCAGTTACATTTTCGATACTCAGTTCATTATTGCTATAAAGCTTTATTTGTACTCTTAGTATTTCTGAGTTTTGACTTATACTTCTAAGTGAAGTCAAATGTGTTTCTGATCCATTGAAACTTATTTAGACATCATTGTTTTTTTGTTATGTTGTGCCACAAAATGTATACGGATGTGCGCTGGGTACCCAGAAATATTTCACAATGACATTTTTTCATTTGGACATGAAATATGCCAAAGTTAAGTCCTCAGAAAATATAAATTATTGGTTAAAAAAGTTAAGAGACTTACTACTAACCAAACATTTTCAAGGAAACTAGTATTATAAATATTATGAAATTCCAAAATGTCTTTAGATAGAATTTATATCCTTACTTCATTAGAATTTTAAATGTGGGGAAACAAAATTAAACATCAGGCCATATCATTGACGTAAATTGTAATACAATTAACGCTAATTATGATTTCACAGTTTCTAACAGTATTTAAATTTTAAAATAAAAAGAAGGCATTTTTTTATTAATTTTGGCCCTTTTATTCCAGAATAGCTTAAGATACCTTTTGTTTGTTCCACTGCTTGAAATTTTCTTACAGTTTTGCCAGTTTTCCAACAACTTTTCATAATAAATTTCTAATGAAATACTCATTTTTCTGACAGAATCAAAACTGACTTTTACTTCAGATTGTTTTTTGTAAAGAAATGCATAAATTTATCTAAGAAAATGCTCCTATAACTCTATTTTATGGAAAAAAAAAAACTTGGCATAGTAGAGTAGAAAGAATAAATTATTGCTAATCATAAAATCTACATTGTTGCCCCAAAAATAACACTTGGCTGCTTATATGACACTAGTCTTTAGTCCCTACCTAATTTATTTACTCTTTGCTTTTCACTTCTTCACTTATAAGATATATGGCGTGAATTTATTATAAGGTCCTTTTTGCTATTTTATGTATTGAGTTTACTTAGAAGAAATTAAATAATGGATTTAGTTAAAAATCAATGATTTTGGAGTAGACCTTTGTTGTATACACACACACACACACAAACACACAAAGAACACATATACCTTGCCAGTGGATTTGTAAAGCTAAAAAGAAGCTGTAAAGAAGTAGTGAATGAATCAGTCAATGGTTTAGTAGTAAAAATACAAGTAAGAAGAGAGAAAAAGTAGAAATCAAAATAGATATGGCAGAAATATGAATAAAATTTTCTCACTGGGGGCACCTGGGTAGCTCAGTGGGTTAAAGCCTCTGCCTTCGGCTCAGGTCATGATCCCAGGGGACTGGGATCGAGCCCCGCATCGGGCTTTCTGCTCGGCAGGGAGCCTGCTTCCCTTCCTCTCTCTCTCTGCCTGCCTCTCTGCCTACTTGTGATCTCTGTCTGTCAAATAAATAAATAAAATCTTTAAAAAAAAAAATTTCTCACTGGAACTAATAAAATTCAACTGAAAAGGAAAGGTGCTGCTTTCCATGATTCTATGTCAATGCATATGAAATTCCTTTTTAGGACATTCATGACAGTCTGGTCATCTCTTTCTTCATCCTTTGGTGTATATGGCTTTTTATCCAAATTAGCTGATTTTCTTTTGTGTCCTGAGGTATAGCCTTCTTTTCTTTAGCATGCTATTCTTGGCCAAGGGATGAAGCCAGCCCTGCTCTTTCCACTTTTATATGTTCATTCAACCAATGTTGAATTACACACAAGTCCTTTGCCAGTCAAAGGCTCTGTAATAAACTTTTATTCACATATATACTATTCGTGGTTCTTTGTCATTGTTAGCAAGACTTTAAGAGAGAGAAGTAAAGAAATATTTAAAGCTTAGTAATATCATCATATACTTTGAATTATAAATTGGTTCTCCTGGGTGCTAGTCACCTTTTCTTTTCTTTTAATATAAACTGCATTTATGGGAAACTTGATCTATTCCATCATCTGCTTCATTAATGAATGCTGGTGGCCAGTGAAGGATATAGATGTAGATATCGAGTCACCTGATTTTCTGGTTAAGCTTCTATACTAATTTCATCATCTATCATCATCTTCCCATTAAGCTACTTGTAAAATATTTCAATTTAGGAGTCAACAATAAATCACTCTTCCAGACAGATATATGTATATTTTTTTCCATTTCTCATAAAGTTAATCTTTAGGTAACACTTAACTTAAAAGTGTAAAGTTTTCATGCAGATAAACCAATAATCTGCTACTTGATAAAATTTAAGTGTTACCATTGTTAAACAAAAAAACAAACAAAAGAAGATTTGATTAATATACAAGATCTTCTCAGCCCTAGATCTCTATATCACAAGGAAATGTTTGTTGATAAAATAGCTGATTGGACTGGGAAGCCAGTTCCCAGGGAGATCTATTTCACATGTACTCTTCTCCCACAGAATCACAATCATAGAGAATTTGGGTTGAAATAAGACCTCTACTGGGTCAGTCCAGTGCACTCAACTAGGGTAGGATTGATTTCAAATGCTATTCCTTTGTTCATGAAAAACTTAGATTGATCTATTTAAATAAAATCTTTTCCTCATATGGTGTCATGGGAGTCACACCATGCAAATGCTTATGAGGGAAGAAACCAATTATATTGGATTTTTTGCTTTGTAATATAATGCTATGTTTCAGAGGTATTTCTGTGTTATTGTAAGTAACTAATATGGGGCAAAAATTAGTTGTTTTCTGTTATTAGAACCCTGTAAACTAATCAGCTTAGATACTTACTAGCAAGTGTTAAATTAGGCCAGAATCACAGGTTTGATTCCAGTGTGGAGCAACTAACTCTTTTTCTTTATAGATGGGACAATTAACTCATATCTGTTTATAGAAGTAAAATCATCTTGCATAATTATGCCCCTCAAGAATGAATGAAATGATGGGGTGCCTGGGTGGCTCAGTGGGTTAAGCCTTCGGCTCAGGTCATGATCTCAGGGTCCTGGGATCGAGCCCCACATCAGGCTTTCTGCTTAGCAGGGAGCCTGCTTCCCCCTCTCTCTCTGCCTGTCTCTCTGTCTACTTGTGATCCCTCTCTCTTTCTGTCAAATAAATAAATAAAATCTTCAAAGAAAAAAAAATGAATGAAATGAGATAAAAAAGTGAATTAATCAAGGCAAAGTCATCAACATTATTGCAAAAACAAGTCACAGTCTGTGTCCTACTACTCAGTGTTTCATGCTCTATTTTATGTTAAAAACACAGGTTATACAGTGACACTGGCTGGGTTCACAGTCCGGCCAGAGCACTTACTAGTTGTGCATGACCTTAAAAAGTTCCTAAGGCTCTTTGTTCTTCAGTTTCACTGTATATAAAACAGAATTAATAAAACCACCCACTATGTGGTTCTTGGGGGGATTAAATGAGATAGGCAAGATAGACTGCTCAGCAAGGTACTTGGCTCATGGTAAATTAGATCTTCCAATGCACTTACTAACCAGGGAGAACTGTTTTAAACTTAGTTCCTGTCCAAATTATTTGTGAAATAAATCCTGAAAAACTGGGACTAAATTTAGTTCTTTAGTGAGTATTAGAAATCTATGTTTCCTCCATGATGATTAAAACTCTCAGACTAATGAGCCCATGGATGCTGTGTTTACTCATCTTTAAATAGAATCCATCTGTTATAATGAACACAATTCTTCTCTGCAGTGTAGACATTTAATTTCCAAGCAATGAGAAGTTTTCTCAAGTCATTAGGCAATAGGTAAAATGGGAAAGCTGGTCAGTCTCTGGTATGAGTTATTAGCAGAGGTTCTCAGTTTTGTCTGTACTTTGGAATCATCTAGGGAGCTTTAAAAAACAAAATGCCAGTGCATGGGTTATTCCCCAAAAAGATTCTAATTTAATTGGCCTGTGTTGATGCCTGGGTGGTGAGATTTGTTAAGGGCTCATAGAAGGTGATTTTTAAAGTGTAGCCAAGGTTGTGTACCACCATAGTTAAAGTACAGTCAGGCTCTGGCTCAGGCCAGAATCTGATCCATCATTTTTATATCAGGGTCAACCTCTCCACTCCAGCTGCAGAGTGCTGTACTTTCTGGAAGGCAAAGAAAGGAGGAGGAAAAATTTTTTTTTAATCACCTTTTCATCACTTCCTCACCAACACCAAGATGTATGAGCTGACATTTTTGAGGTAAGATACCGTTAGGCTTCATCTTCATGATAAATTTATTCATCTTTGAATCTCAGTCATGAATTCACGTAATCCTTGGCTTAATGCAATTCAGCAAAATTGGCCATTATTATAGAACCGTAGGATTATTCTGAAGGACTCACAGGAGATTGCTAACACACATGTAAAAAAGAAAGGTTCTACCCTCTTTTTTTCATGCTTTTCTTACCTGTGTTCATGAGGGATCATGGAATTCCAGGGCTGGCATTTGATGCCACTCTTAGTAATAGATACCGTCCCCTTGTAGCTACCTCCTTTACCAATGATGCAGTTTCTAATGTAGTCTATCAGAAGAAAGCAGGGAAAAATTTTATAACTATGTGTAACATATATTATATATATTTAAAAAGAAAAAGAAAATTCTATCCAAATCTTTAAGTATTTAATGTTTATAAGTCCTCTCAAATCATACTGACATTTCTTGCCTACAGTTTCTACTATTTTCAAAACAATACATTTCAGAATAATACAAAACAAGAAAAAGACTTCTGAGAAGTTTTAATTTTATGACTATATTCCTGGATAACAGCAGAGATTAGTCTATGTACTTAATGTAGATTAGGCCATATACACAACTGGCCAGGCAAACTTAATTTGGCAGAATGATTTGCTCAAATATACATACTATTTTAAGAAAATGTTAAAAATAAAAATTAAATAATATGTAAAATCTATTCAATTCAAAGGGTTACTTTAAGATAATAAAAATAACTAACTTATCTTTATTTTAATAAAATTGTATAGGTTTTTGTATATGCGTCTGTGTGTATGTCTAAGTGACAGTTGTATTACGTTGGTTCTTATTTTCTATATTTTTGTTAACTATTTGGCTGCAAAACTATAAAGCAATTCAATTTAAACAAACTATATATTCCTATCAAATAATAGTATATACAGTTACTAGCAACCTAGAAAATTAAAAGATGATCTTATACTAGATCATATATTATGATTAGGATTTATATGTAAAGATCATCTTATTTTCTTTTTTTTAGGATTATCTTATTTTCTACCATAAATTAATTTTAATTTAAGTGTCTATGTTTTTAACAGGGAGATATTTGTGTATATTACCAAATACTCAAATTTAATGACACAATACAATTTAAGAAAATACTTAACTTGAAATAAATACTATTATCATAAATATAATCCATAATTATTATTTCATGTGATAAGAGATTTATTTTGTAAAACTCATATTTATTTAACATTCTCCAATTATTTCCTTGATATAAATCTGCTTTGGACCAAAGTAAATACCTGTGAATATAGTATCAGATAAACAAAATAGACACATTAATAAATAATATGATGTCAATTCTTCTTTTAAAGATTTTTAAAGTATATAATTAGGAAAAGACACAACTAATATTTCAAAATCTCCACATTTTATTATCAGCAATCACCACCATGACAGATTAGTTACCCAAAGTTTTTAACATTTAAAATACTATGTAATAAGATCAAAATATACTATAATATAAGGTGTTTTAAACTATTAATTTAAGGTGGCACTTTCTAAAATGAACATGGACAACATCAGTTCTAGGATATGCTCCTAGAAATAAAGAGGGAAGTTTGGGAAATACTCTCTTTAAAATATCATATTGAAATAGTCAAGACACTAGTATACTCTGTCTTAAAGGACTAATTGACTGCGTAACAGATCCAGCATATAATAGAAAAATTAGTGGGAAAGAGCACTGTGACAGAAAATTACATATATTTTATGCTTTATATTGTTATGAAATATTTAGGGAGAACCAGTTACCTTTGTTTTCATAGAGATCAAATTCATGACCAAACTCTTTTTTCACTCCACTTGTCATGCTATTGAAAGGGAACCAGAGGCATCGTTTCCTTGCTTTATCAAAAACAAAGGCCCTGAAAAAAATATCTAAATGAAAAGAAGGAATACTACAATTTATACAGTTTTTAAAGAATGGGTACATGATTTAACCAAGGAGGGCAATATAAAAGAAAACACACAGTTATATATGCTAATAAAAACATGAGTGATATTTGAAACTACCATTTTGAAGGCCAAATAAGAAAGAACAAAATTAAGTTTTCATACGTGTAGATTTACATATAAGAATACTATTTAGATATGTTCTCGTTACTTTAAACAATGTGTAAAAAAATGAAGTCTTAAACAAGCAAAATCAATATATAACACAACTGCCTGGATTATTTCTGAAGACTTTTTTTGTAAGTACACAGCAAGTGGGAAGATTTTGTTTATAAGTGATTATATCTGATATATCATGACTAATTCCCAAAGTTTGTAATTGTGTAAAGTACATTCTAAAAGGATATTTCCTAAAATGTATTAGACAAACCACAGTCCAGGAGATTCTCTTGGCAAAAGGGATCTGAAATCAAATGTCTGTAAAATTTTGCATATTATATCCCTTCTTGGTGAGTTATAAAACATGGAAGCTTATTAAAGGCTATGAAAATCTTGTATCAGGATCAGTGTTTATGTAAAGCAATGTTCCCTAAATAGACTTGCTTGCTAGGTATTTTTAATTTAAAAAATCTATTAATATCACATTGCATATGCTCTTGATATATCTGTCTTGAAGAAAATTACTAAAATGTGTCACTCCTACAATCATCATTCCTATAGCTAAGTACGATATTGGGTTTTGTTGTTCACTAAAAAAAGTCTCTCTAAACAAAATGATAAGTAGGAAAAAACCCTTAACTGAGAATAGTGAAGAACTTGATAAAATTTTCAACATATTAAGTGTTACCATGTCTTACAATGTAGAAAATGAAGTGGAAATGTAGAAATGTATAAACTGAACTGTTTACCTTCCTTTAAGAAATGGTATTAAAACTCCTCACTATGTTTGTGCTAATTACAATGCCGCCACCATTAGCTTAAGTAACTAATTAAAAGAAATACAGATTTTCTAAGAATAATGATTTTTTTTCATTTCTAATCCATATAATATCTTTTAAGAACACATATTTTTCTCATAATTTTAGATATTCCAAGCTAGTCCCTTATTTCTTAGTAATTGCCAACTTTTAAATAATTTTAAATACGGAGAAATAACTTTTATGAAACATAAAATATGTCATAAAATTATTTAAAGTATTTTACCTATGATCTCATATTTTTATATAGTACATTTTATTCAATATCCAAATAACTTCAAAAAATTATATGCATAAACTTTGAGCTTTGACTTACACATTGAAGATTTGAAATATCTAACTACAAGAACATCTTACAGCTGAAATTGTAATTAAGAGCAAATCATAAAAAGTATATTTTTGCAGCGCTGGCAGGTAACTTCAGAGGATTGGCTATTAATAGACTTGAATTTTGATCTGGTGGACTGTAGCCTTATGCAATACATGTTAAAGTCTCTATAATGTTATTATAGCATGCTGGGGGTGTGTTAAATGACTTTGAAGGCATAGTAATTAGAAAAAGACGACATGTAAAAAAACTAAACAGACATCTAAAACCAAATGTTAAAGTTACAGTTGCTACTTTACTTCACATCAAAATAAAGTTGAGCCACACATATATAACTACTTTTCTATGGATAATATGGCTTTGACATGAGAATGCCTTGGAGGTGACTCATGAGCCCCATCAGGAACATGCAAGATTTGTTTCCATGAATACACACAGGCAATTCCATCTGACAAGTGGGTAACCAAGTTTCCAGTTTGCTGACTTGACTTCACCCTTTTTGCTCATTCCATTACAATGCCATATTCTCTCAGAAAAGTATTTCCTTGAATCACTTCATGCCTCCAAATAAACTGGATCCAAAAAGCAGATTCTAGAGTTGCATCTTCTTTTAAGTTTGACTTTAAGAGTCTTTATCTTATCCTATTTTAATTATTATATTCCTTTCAATAATTTACTTCGTCTAGTTTCTAGTTGTTTACAGCAGGTAGGCAATTCCAGTACCAGTTACTCAGTCATGGGTGGAAGAAGAAAGCCTCGTATTTTCTTCTCTTGAGTCAAGTCATGGATAGCAGTTTTCTGAGGAGCTTAGAATCAGGCATTCTGGTCCTCTTTCCTACCCAGCAAAAAAGAACTTCGATCTCTGTAAAATCAATATTGTTGATACCTTCTCAGGAGGAGATCGTGTTTGAGAATGTTCCACCCCTCACCCACTGAATCACAGATGTTTTCACACAGCATTGTTGGTGTTTTCCAAGCACTTTGCATATTTGCCATTGTCTTTCAATGACTCTAGTCCATTTAACAAGCCTGCAAAAAGATCCTTTAATTCATTAAGAATCTAATTTCAGAGTATCACAATATGTCCATTCAGTTCTGAACAACCAATGTATTTAGTGATTGCAAATACATGTGCATATATATAGACAAGTGAGAAGGATGACACATTTCTGGGCAGAAGAATTCTTTCTGTACAAAGATATTATACATGTGGTTTTCTGCACAGTTTGCAGTAAATTTGAAGGCTAAATGTAACTCAACCAGAATATAGTAGGAAAGTATGAAACCTCATATACATGGGATATGCAAAGATTTGTAATCAATTTACATGTGTTCTTTAATGCAGCAAAATCATCCTAGTTCCTCCTAAATAAAACATAGGGAAGGTTTTTGTTTTATTTTGCTTTCTAGAGATAAGGCTGACTAAGGTGAAAATGAAAAGATAGTAATACTTTCCTTTCTCATGGATTCAGGACACTGTATTTTCAAGTTCAGAGTTAAAAATAAATAATAAGATGAAGTTCTCCCATTTCCCTTGCCCCACTTTCCCAAGCCTGTGAGGTGAGAATACAATAAATCCAACCTCCTCAATTGTCAGAATATCACCATAAATCTACACAGCTCTGATGTTGATTGAGAGTAGTTTTCTCTAATTTATTTTTAACAATCTCAAGGCACGAAAGTCAGGAAAAGAAACAGAATTATCATAGGAATATACTTGCAAAGTCAATTCCCCACTCCACTTGCCAGGAAATATCTCCCTGAAAGTGGCAGTTTGGCAATAAAAATACTTTCAGAGGAGCTGTAAATGAATAAAAGGGAGATAGTCTGCCTCCACTACATCTGTTGAGGACCTCCTCTGACCAGGTCCTTTCCCCCAGGCCCGTAACACTCATTTCTCTGAAAAAGGTAAAATGAGATTAGCATCGCTTGCCACAGCATTACTAAAATGGGTTCACATTACATGTCACTGTCCAAATGCAGTAGAGTAGAATTCAAAACTGAAAGGATATCATGCACACTCCTGTAAAAAACAGAATGAAATAGGGAATAAATGGGTATAAAGTAAATGAGGGGATGGAAATGTTTACAAAGAAGAATGAGGATTGCATTTTCTTCTGGCAATTCAGAAAATTATTCACATGCACGAGTCTCCTTTGTGGCCCAAAACTCCCAAGTCTTATCCTTGAGATCATTGGCAAAGTAGGAAGGAATTCTTCCCTATGAGGTTATACAGGGAATTTCAAATGATAAGAAAACCCTCATTTGGATCCCCTCATACCTCTTTGAATCTTTCTTTACCTTTCCACCTGAAACTTCATCGTCACTACACCGAACTCCTTTGGAACAGCCTTTGCTGCTGACACCAATCCTTCTATTTTTTTTTTATCTAATTCTTTCAACACCTTTTATTTAAATCCCTAAAGACAATGATTCAAGTTGCAGTAAATTCTGGCTCTGATCCAACTTATATTCTGAAAATTCCTTCACTCCTCTTGCAAGAAAAAAAAATTTACTCTGAATAGAATATTTTAAAATGTTGGATAAAAGGCAATCTAATGGAATTTTAGTTTCTAAAGTCCAACCGTTCATAAGATGAGAAAACACAAATTCCATAACCAAAGGCACTCTGAGTTCTAAACGATACCTGTATATGTGCTCTCCTTTACTCATATTTCCATCAACTTAGAGCTACATTTTCTGTTATAATGAGTTAAGACCAAAGTCAAACTTATGCTTTTAAGGGCAAATTACACTGAATACAAAGGAAAAAAAAAAACAACCCAAAAAACCCATGATGATAATTAATAGATGCTATATTTGGATAGTTATCCTAAGAACAAAATGAAGCAACTTACTTGCAAGTGAATGGTAGTCCTTTATTCCTAATACATCTATTGGCACATTGGTCTGCAGTGTTCATTTTTTTTGTTTTTATCTTCAGTAATGGGTCTTCTTTAATTAGAGTAGTCTTTGCTGACTTTTTGAATTCATGAAGTGTGTTTCTTCTTTTCTTCTGTCCTTCTATTAATAATAATAATTTTTTTAAAAAAATGGAGGAAAAGCTTTTAAGGCTCATATAGAAAAAAAATCTCCTTAAGGATCATCCACAAGATAGTGATTTTATCTGAGAACATTCTAGAGCTCCAAGGATTCGGGGTGAAGTGAGGTGGGGATTGATACTCTTGGATAGTTAAGAGCAAGAGAAGAATATTGTAATCAGTGAAGAATAAGTAACTTGTCGTATAGGGTCACTCAACTACATACTTTAAAATGAAATATGCTTTTAAAAATTAGGACAGAGTTCACTCTACAGAAATAAATGACATGATATTCTCCAAACAGTATGAAAGCAAATGCCCAGGCATATCATATCATGCTCTATAATTAAATTTATCATTTCCTTCTACAGTTGGTCTTTATGTAAGTTATAGTATTAATTAGATAAGTCAATTCAATTACACGTGAGAAACTTCTCACTAAAAATGGTGCAATGGATAAATTCTTATGGCTCGCTTTAAAGTATTTCATATTATTCATATTTTAGCCCTTCTCATTTCCTACAGAAGTGTTTTCTGTGCTTGGGGGCACTATTTTTTAAGTATAACTGAATTGTTTGTCTTGAAATTAAGCCAAATGCTATAAATCAAATGTATGTAAAACTTCAAGCTTTAATGTAGCAATATCATTTTTCTTCATGAGTGTATTCTACAAGGCCCCTAGATAGTCTAGCACAAAGCCTCCTATTAAAAATGGGAAAAACAGAACTAAAACATCCTAAAGGACTTAATCTTATAGATGACTTTAGAGTATCAAGAACTACTGCTTCATTCTTGATGTGCTCAAAGTTACCTAGTTTCTAGTGATGGTTACCATCTTCAAAATGAGGATCAAAATGTCTAAGAGACTGCATCTGTTTTACAATAAGGATGGGCATGATTGTGCCTCTCCTCTGCCTGCCAGTTCTTTTGAACATCCTTATAACAAAGGCAGCAATAATATATTCATTTTTAAGATGAAAAAGCCAAGACACAGGGAAAAATTAATTGCCCATTTAGCAAACCTCATATGAAACCCAGCTGCCTCACTTCAGAACCCCCAGCCCCCACTCTTTAACAGTCATGATGCCATCTTTTAAAAAAAATTCTAAGTAGGTAGAAATATGGCTTATAAATATTTTCTGAAGATCCGGTTCAGAGCTATCAGTAGAGAAGAAACTTGGATGCTCGAACAGGAAATGCATTCCTGGTCTTTATATGTGGTGAAATGTGCCACGAAAAGAAGGTGAAAATTTTTGTGCAGAAAACTTGGAAATATGGCTAGCAGAGTGAGGTACAAACAATGGCATCATACCCTCAATTTGCCAGCAACCACTGGCTCCAGTTGGTTCATTAAACATGCAGATGCTATTCATTAATGTCCAGCCTAACCTGAAGTCCACAATAAATAAAAGAAAACATGAAGTCCTCTAAATTTCTGGTCCTCTGTAAAACTCTACAGCACAACCACCAAAAGACTGGTACTAATTTCTGTAAAAAAGTTTTCATTTTTAACTTTTCTTTGCCCTACAAGATGGAATGGCCATGGTAAACAGATATAATTTAAAAGACATTTTAACATAGAAATTCATTCAACCAAATAATCTATCAACATGTTATTTATTGAGTGTGGAGCAAATGACTTGCATAATGTTGGCAGACAGATGATAATTCTAGCATTCTTACCGACTCGCCAAATGACTTTGTTGAATTACCTGAAATGCTAATATACCGATGACTCAGTCTACTAAAATGAAAGTTATGTTATATTTGAAGCTATTTAAATTATAATTATTAAGTAAATATTTAGACATTAATTTGGATAAAAATGTTATGAATATGCAAAGTTTCAGCTTTGTTTTTGAAATTCCATTCTTTAATTTCTGACATAGAGAAGAAATTGTTTTTCTCCCAAGCAAAGAAGTGGTATAGTTCTTTTCACATTTTGGTTTCTGCCACAGAACCATGTTAATGGAAGATATGTCTCTGCATTAGGAGTTTCTTCCTTTGACCGTAGTGCACTATATCTTAAGTGCTGTGAAGTGTTTCACAGAATAGTAATCATCTGATTTCCTATGTAAATTGGAGTATTTCTTAGAAACAAATAGTAGTTTATGGATGCTGAAAATCTATTAAATAAAACTATATAGAGATATGTGGGTTATATACATATATATATTTCTCAAATAAATTCTAACTGAATTTAACTGAATTCTAAAAATATAGAATTAAAATCGGCCTGATGAATAATGTGTTTATTATACATAACTAAATGTGAGAGAAGAGCAGAAAACTAAATTTTAAAAGCCTGAGGCAAACATTAAATTCAGAAATGTATTTTACTAATTAGCAAATAAAACAGAACCCCTTGTGGATGCTCCGGCTTCTTGGCTCAATACCATGCAATATGAAGGCAAGTATTGAAGACTACTATAGAGAAAAGAGGTCTCTGTGGGATTGTTCGTTGTGTTTAATCCTACTGATCCTCAGTTGTCCTATTGAGATGTGTTAATGTGTGACTATACCTCATAAAAGTAGTCTAATTCTTACTTGTTGATAAGTTTTTCCATCACCTCTTTCATCTAAAGATCAAAAAGCATTCAGAAAAGCAAATAAATCTATGATTTCCCTTTACTAGATAATAGATAGGATATAATAGATAATAGATAGGAGTGAAAAGCTTGTATGGGGCTACAGAGCTAACCAAAGGCAATGGGAACCAGATACCAGAATCCTCTTTTCACTATTTATTTCTCATGATTTAGAAGCTTTCCTTTATAGTTTAGTCATTTCTACTGGGTCAGTAACAAATTACTCAAAAATGTGAAGTTCAAGCTCGTTGTACATCATGTAATCTAGGCATCTATAAAACTAATTTCTTCTTCAATAAAAGAAAAATTTAAACAGGCGTCTAAAAGACAGCATGTCAAAATAAAACTCCTTTTCTGAAAAGATTTCCAACTTTTTCTTCCATATGTATTAACAACTGATGATTGTTTTACTGAAAACAGTTAAAAGATCAGCTTAATTTGGGAAGAAACTAACTAAAACAAAAACAAAAACAACAACAACAAAAAAAAAAACCCACCACTTTGGATCAGATTTTTCCATTTGTGTGTGTGTGTGTGTGTGTGTGTGTGTGTGTGCATAATTATTAGTTGAAGTTTAAAAACAAAATATTGAAATGAAATCAAAGGGTGAGAGATCACTGCAACTTTGTCATGCTTTCTTGTACTTTAAATTACAACTCCTTTCTCCTCATCTCCCAGTATGGGAAAACATTCTGGAAGCTATATTTCCTGAAGAACCAGAAATCCCTGTTTTAGAGCTGAAATCATTAGGATCTTAGTGAAAACCTACAAACAGAAAGTAAGGTCAAATGTATCAAGGTGCTTGAAGAAAGACACATTTCTCCCTCTGGTCCCTGGCTTCACACTCATTTCTCTCAGTACCTCATATATTTTCTTCTCTGTATGGACTAACCACTGACTTCAAAGGAAAATCGTGCAAGGAAAGGATTTGCAGGGTGTGGAAAGAAGCAGGAATCTGGCTCCACATATTCTGAGAGACCTACCCACATGATTAGTGATTAACAGCTTGAAGTGGCAAGATGTTAAGATGAAAGTACACAAATAATTAATGGAGGGAATGGTTGTGACTGGAGATTTTAGCCTTCCCAAAGACAAGAATCATAAATACTAGTTCACAGTTTCATTGCTGTTATCTAGGACTTGGATTTCCCAGTTGGTATTTGAGAAGTAAGCAAAATAATCCCTTCCAAAGAGGTTTATACAATGAAGTGATAGTCAAGGTGTGATTCAGGGCCTCCCTTCTTCATCTTAATTCAGCTTCCTTGTTCAGGATGTCGTTGTCACAGACATTTCGTCCTGGTCTCTTCCCTCACCACCTGTTTCTGCCAACAACTCTCCCTCCATGCGGCAACCAAAACAACCATGCTGAAGTACAACTTAAGTCAGGTCTCTTGTCTACTCTTAAGATTTCCAACTACTACCCAAGATGTTCAGAACAGTTTGGCACAATATTCATGCTTATGCATGCAACCCTATCTCATTTTTCTAATCACAGGCCATACTACTCAGGTGCTCAGTACACCAGTCGCACATGGTTACCTGTCCTCATACTTTTCACCTCTATGTCTTTGGCCACTTTGTGTTCCCCCGACTTCCGTACTGACCATACTATTATCCATTTTTTCATATTCAATTTGGGTACCATATTTCCCCCAAATTTCTTAAGCTAGAAATGAACTCTAAACCATAGTATTATAGTATTTCTAACACGGAGATTTTCATATATTGCTTAGCAAAATGGATTTTTAAAAAGCAATTTCAGTTGATTTCACTGTTTCTGGCTTCAATATAAATAAAAGGGCAAAAAAAAAAAAAAAAACAGCACATATTGCCTTCTCATACATTTGGGTAGGAATCTCAGCTCTATCTCTTTACCATAAGATAATTAAGGTTGTTAACCTCAATTTCCCCATGCAAAATAAGTTGAATACTGCAAATCTTATTAGAGTTAGATAATTTCTTTTTTAGGACATTGTCCATAACAGTTGCTTAACAAATGTAGGTTTCTTTCTCATTTGTCCATCTTTATATTCCCACAGGTTCCTGGACATTAGATGCTTACTTAGTGCTTCTTTTGGTACAGGGAATTGTATATCTGTTTCCAGTGTAGGTGGAAGTGGATGGGGGTAATTCTATGTAGATCAGCTCCTCCTATAAGGATGGCTTGGATCCCCTATTTGCGTATTTCTTAAGAAACGTTGCAATAAATGATCTCCATAATACATTCTGCTTATAATTGATTGTCACCTCATTATAGTATCCACTACTTTTCTAACATTGTATTATTTTGCAATATGTACAAGTGTAGACTGATAGGATAAACCTAAAAGTATAACCAAAGCAATTAACAACAACAAAAAATCCTAAATGTTCAATGTTAGAGGATATAAAAAAGGACAAACTCTGTATGTTCTAAGGACTATCCATGGTCTCCATTTTGGAGAATGTTATTAAAAAAAAAAAAAAAATCCATCAAAATAAACTTGCCACCCAACCTAAGCCAGACCCTTTTTTGATGACAATTTTAGCATTATGCACTTCAGGAATTATTCACAGCATATCTGTAATTCCCAGTTGGCCTTGCCTTGCCTGCCAGCACACTCTTGGGCGGCATTCTCCCTATACTCAGGAAACGCAGTCATTTCAACATTAGCCAAAGTGAAATATAATTACGAATGTATATCTCCTGCCAAAACGTCGTAATGCATGCCAAAAACAAATAGACATTGTCTATGGTTGATCTACCGTTTGGGTTTTCCACATTGTGTTTCCCCTTTGCATTAGCAAGATGATTTCAGGTAACCATACTATACTTCAGACCATCACCATTTGAATCCTTAAAAATGAAAGCCCTCCAAATATTAGCCATGATTTCAGTTTATGCTCAACATCCCCTAAAATCAACAATGCCTTATGAGAGTTCATTTTAGCATGACACACCTCAAGCATGATAACCTGCCTGATTGAACTAACTTCTTTTCACCTCTTTGGAAATCGTACCTACATGTTTTCAAACTGGTCCTTCCTGCACACTGTTGTTTTTCACAAGGACCACTTTACAAAATAGAAGAAAGCCATGTGGGTAGAATGCTTTCCCTTGTCATTTAGCAAATTCTCGATGTTTTCAACCAGGGTATTACATCAGAAACTGATCAGAGCTCTGATAAATTTCATATTTAGCTTATCTCCAAAGATATGGCCAGTCCTCTGGTTTGTATTATGAAAGGGCCATGTCTACCATGTGGGCATTTGTTCCATTCTTTTATTCCCTCGTGCCTACCCATGGTGCTCACTACCTTCTCCCATTGGCATCTCAGCCACTACAATGATAGTACAAACAAATACAGATGTTTCCTCTTGCCCTGATAACAACAGAAAACTTCCCAAAGCGGCAAATGGAATCTCTACACTTCCAGGAAGGTAGTACGAACTCGCCAGCAGTTCCTTCCCAACCTGTAAATTCGAGGGAGAAAATGGGAGACTGAAAGGAGCCGTTCGCCAGCTTTAATCAAAGTCACGCAGTTTGTGCCTCCCTTGCACTGCAGTTTCAAAGGGCAGGCATCCATACCCAGACAGAATGAGATCTCAGAAGAGAGGCTTTCTCTTTCATTTTTATGACATGCATATCTCCAGAGTTTAACCTGCCTTCTCCAGATGAAAACCTGTATAAAGTCATCATTTAGCCCTGAAGGTTGACTGAGTGACATGGGGTAGAGGAATGTCATGGCAAATAATCCTCTGGAAAGAAGGGAGTCCCTGCTGTACTGACAGTCACTCTCCCCTCTTCAAGCCCAGACCTTCTGTTCAGCTTTAAACTTGTCCAAACCCAGCAAAATTTCAGCCAGCGTTAGCACTTCATTCCTGCCCCACAGTCCACAACCAGGAGGCTAAGGGGGAGCCTGGGCTGGGGTTGGGGAGGAGGACACATTTGGGGGGGATGTTAATTATCATTGTAAATGATTTGCAAACAGAAAAAGAGAATATCAAAAGAAAGAGCCACGAGATGTTTAAAAAAAAAAACCCATGCCACACACTGAGTTAAGAGAGGATGCTGAGGCTGGGGTGAAGAGGGTGTTAAGGAAAGGAGAGGTTAGCAGGAGAGAGTTAAAGGAAGACTAATAAGGAAGAAGAGAAGACTAACCTGCATAGGGGATGGCGATGGGAAGCAGAAGGAGATGGAGGAGGACATGCTGCAGCAGCAGGACTGGCAGAAGTTTGGTCCCCCACATGGTGCTGCCGGACGCGCTGGCGGATCCCACTGGACGAGATGCCTGGCTGAGAGAAGCCTGTTCCGACTCAGTGCCTAAAAGAACCAGTCGGCTCTGAGCAGCCTTTTATTGCGATGAGCTAAGTTTGTTGTGTGATTAACTGGAAAGATCTAGGTCTGAACTCCCTCTTACGGTAAGAAACTGTTTAACAACAGCCCTTACTCTCTTCCACCCCCTTTCTCTCCTCACTAACTCCCCCCCCCCCCCCCCAACAACACCAAAGAGATCCCAGGTCCCCACCCCACCCCCCCAACGCTGCTTAGGAAAGAAACTTACAAAGAAAAGGTCACCTGGCCTGAGGCCAGCTCAATTTGGAATCTCGAGCTCCAGATCCCTGTGACTCCTAACCGAGTAGGGAAGGGAGGAGCAAGGCTCAGCCCAATAGCTAAATCAAGGCACAGGCAGAGGACCAACTCGCTAAATTTAAACAGGAAAATACATGTGTTTACATGTCTCTTTGGGAAAAGAGGAAGGGGAAGCAGCAGCAGAAGAAAGCGAAGAGCTGCCTTTCAGTCAAATGTGCTTTAGCTTCTAATCTGTCTGGTTTCCCTGCTGGAGCAAAGTAGGGATTCAAAACACTGACACAGGTTCCCTGGAGTGGGAGAGACAGGGAGGGAGGAGGGAGGCAGGCAAGGAGGCAGCCAGGCAGATCCAGCCCAGGTAAAAGGACCTTAGTAAGAAAAGATGTGGTATTGTGGGGTAAAAATAAACAAGCTACAGACACCCACTGTGTCAGGTAAGAAAACTGCCCCAGCCCAAAATGCTCAGAGCAGGCAGCTTCTTTTGGCAGCTACACTAACCTGTGCAAACAACACAAATGTACCTAAAGTGCATCAGAGCAACTTGCCTGATTTGGGATCCGTGATAAAATCTGGTCATGTTCTCTCTTAAAATATCTAAGAGATTAGGATTATCTGCTGCCCGTCTCTGACAGATAAATGCAGCATGGGCTATGTGTCCTTATACCACACGCACGCACGCACGTATGTCTGTATGATGCACGTACCTTCTAAGACTTTAACTGGAAATCTCTCAATCTGTTTTAATTCCTAAATAATGAAAGTGCCTCTCTTCTCCAGCTCCATCCCTCTGAATTAACCCACTAGCCTCCCAAAATCTAAACAGAGAAATAGAGCCATTGCATGGGGAGAGTGGAAGGAGGTGGGGGGTGGGGAGACTCATGTCTGCAGAATCTGTCAGATCATGGCTCAAACCTTTCCTTTTACTGAGAGGATTGATTTATCTTTGCATCCCCAGGTGATGCTCTGACTACTTCAGGCAAGAGCTGACTTTATTTGGAATGGCTTTGGGGGGATAGTTCCCTGTGCATCTCTGAGATGGGCACAAATGGGAACCAGCTTTTCTGTTGACAGAGGAAGAGAAAGTGGGCATGATGTGAAAATGACTCTGGGGCAGTGTGCAGCTGCACAGAACTGGTAGTGGGCAGAATTAATGCCATCCACACAGAACTGCCTTCCCTTCCAGTGCGGCTGTCATTCCTCCTCCTCCTCCAGCTCCACCCACCATCCCCCCTCCAGAAAACACCCAAGTTTAGGATAGCAAGAGAAGCCTGGGATTAAGAAAATTACTTTTCAGTTATCTACTTTATAGTAACTTCTCTTACTGTAAATCCTCTTTAATCATTTTCTCCTTATAAAAACAAAACCGAGCAAACTGAAAAATCGTTTGGCAGCCTCTCCCTGGTGTCCCAAATATCCATGTTACTGTCTTTTTACTTTCTGATAGGCTTTTTGGAAAATCTCAATTTCCGTGTATTGCCTGGCCGTGATCCTGAAATGCCCCACAGCATCTCTTGTGCTCTATTAGGGATTCAAACTCTTTTTCAAAGAAGCTAGATTTTGCTATAAGTAAATACTCGTAGGTAAAGAATAAAGGAGACCAGTGTTTGTTTTTTGTTTTTGTTTTTGTTTTCTCTCTCTCTCTCACAGAAAGCAGAATCAGGGCTCTAAGCATGATTGCAATTATCATTATAGGCTTGGAGCAAAAGCCATCTTGGATAAGAGATTTAGAGCACCACAAGGAAGTTGAATAAACTTATTTAATAGGTCACACATTTTCACAATTTTTATTGTCACACTAAATACAATAAACACTTAAACCTATCTATAATTATATGTTTATATTTCTCTTTTGACAAGTTATTTGGTTTCTCTGTGTTAAAATGATAGCTAATATGCGTTGAGCTTTTAGTATATGCTGGCATTGGGTCCAATGCTCTTTAAAATTTGTCTTATATAATCCTTACGATAAACTCATAAATAGAAAGAATTATTATAATTCCTATTTTATAGCTGAGAAAATTTAGGTAAATTATTTCTCTCCTAAAATAACTTCCGAAAGATCCCAAAAGAACAAAGATCCAGGTATGAGACTCAACGAGTTGGTCATAGCCCATAGAATGGAAAAATTTCTGTAAGTCCATGAGAAGAACCACCTGTCTTTTGTTTAAGATTATAATCTCCAAAATTAGCCCAGGATGGAACATATAAGAAATGCTCAGTAATAAGCTACAAAATAAACCAATATATAAATAACTTAAAATCTCCCTAAACTATAAAGAAATATGCACATGAAATAAATTATTAGTTGTGCTATTATTTCACTTTGTCCTGGTAACACATTCCCTTTGTTCTTTCTAAGTTATAGTAATGATGATTTGCCCATCCCTTGCTCTCACTTTTATACTCTTTAAGTGTTAAACTGTTTGGAAAAGTCCCCCAAAATGTGTCTGAAAATTTTTTGATAAAACAGAGAATCTTGTAAGGAGAATTTTTAATTGCTACACCCTGTGTAATTACTTAAATGCAAGTTGAATACTCATTGCCAATATAATATCATTTTAAATCGATGATAACTTTGAAGTCTCTAATAAGCCATATAAACTAGATGGATTGATAGGAAAAAATGTACATTATTATACTTGCTGTTTTAAAAGGTTGCCCATAGTTTTAAAAAATTATATTTTCAAAAGCCCCAAGTTTTCAAGCACAAGTGATATTGGCATTTGTATACATGGGGAAGAAGCTGGTGTGACTTTGTGCTTTGCAGACCACTGATGAGTTCTGTGCTCTTGGACAAGTCATTTCATTTTAACAAATCACTTAACAGTGACTGGCGTGCATGGTGCCATTCTGTTTGGTGCCTCTACTCTTAGACCCAGTTGAGTCAGATACCTGGTTTCAGGTCCCAGCTATCTCATGAAATGAGCCACTAATTGAGAAAATTAATTAAGCTCCTTAAGCTCTGTTTCCCTACCACTAAAATGGGACACTATGTGGTAGATACTGTGCTAAACATCTCACAGGTATTATCTCACCTACCAATCCTCCTATCTGGGGGAAAAAAAAAGAGATCTGTATATCTAACAGGTATGTATTTCTATTGTCACTGACTTATAAGTAAGGAAACTGAGATTTGGAGGTGGTGTGTAACTAGCATTCGGTTAAACTGTTAATAAAGCATGACTTGAAGCCACAGCTGTCCAGGTATAAGTTGCCACATTGACAGAAATCCAGATTGAGAGATTTCCAACATCCTTCCCAGCTTGAAAATGTGATTATTCTACTGAATTCTTTAGGAGTCACCATACTTTTATACAATTCTTACCTCCCACATCTGAGAAAGAGGCACCTGTGTAATTTTTGGTGTTGCTTATCTTTCCCATGCCCATATTTTCTTATTCTTTCCTTCCTTATTTGTTACACCTTCTAATTGGTGATTTGTCATCTATAGGACTCACCACTGAAGAATTCGTGTTGACTAACTTTAATGTAGGAAAGTATTGCGAAATTCATCGTCATTTGTATTAATTTTCTTTATATAATATGGTTCATTTCAGAGCACGTATATAAAATGTTGGTCAACACATTAATTCACCTTGGCCTAAATCCAAGGGGCAATCATCTGAACGTTTGTGTTCCCCCAAAGTGCAAATACTGAAATCCTAACCCCCAGAGATGACAGTATGAGGAGGCAGGGGCTTCGGGTGAAATCCTCATGAACAGGATTAGTGCCTGTAAAAAGAGACTCCAGAGAGATCTCTCGCTTCTTCCACCTTATGAGGGTACAACAAAGCACCATCTGTGAACTAGAAAGCAGGCCCTCACAAGACCGAATCTGCTGGTGCCCTCATCTTGAACTTTCAGCTTCCAGAACTATAGGAAATAAATGTCTGTTGTTTGTAAACCAGCCACTCTGTAGCATTTTGTTGTAGCAACTAAGGACTAGGACATGCGTATCTTTTATAGGAGCTCCTCATGAAAAAGGAATATATACTCCAGGGACAGAAAATGGCTATTGGGTAATTGCTATACAGAAAACAAAATTTAAAAGTGTGTCTAATGCCTAACACCGAGTAGTAGTTCAACTAAAATGTTGGATCAGATAGATAACATTTTTAAATATATGAAGCGGAATCAAAAAACAGAACGATACAAGCAGGTGTGATGGCATATTCAACTGAAGAGTGGGTACAGTGATCACACAAAAGCCTACATCTGTACTGTCAGTCTGAAGGCCTCAAGGCATTTATGCTTTCATAAATTCCAATTGAAATTAAGTAAAACTAAAACTGAACTTTAAAGTTGCGCTTTGTTCCAAATACTCAATAGCTAAATGTGTGCGGCCACCAGCTCTCCTGGTGGACGATGCAGATAGAGACTTTCATCATTGCCAAGAATTCTATTAGATAACGTTGCTCCAGTCTAAGATGGTTAATATAAATGTCATCTAAATGTGATTACAGGCTCAATGAGAGGGGCACGGCAAGGCAATGTTAATGATAAAAGAGGATACCAAAGAGTAATCTGTATACTAGTGACATTTCCTCTGAAGTTCCCCCCTTTCTCTCCATTCCTACTTCACACAGTTTGAACATGCCTAACAGGACTTCAGTTACTTCGTCTTTTGAACATAGAGTAACAATGACTGAAGACAGCTCATTGTTTGAAGGATGAGTCCAGCACATAGTATGGACACACGCACAGAGAAATTGGCCAGGAGAAAAACTTTTTAAAATAGGGATTTTTAACAAAACTTCTGTCTTCTAAGGAATCAGATGCAATCTATACTTTTGAGTAGAGGGTCCTGGGAATGTGGCAAGTCTTTGCCTATAACATTAAAAAGAAAAAATGAAAAGAAAAGAAAAAAAAA